CTTCCTCGAGGATCTCGATGCGGCGCTCCAGCTCCTCACGGCGCCAAGTCTCACGGTTGACCTCCCCCTCAAGCAGATAAGCGTGCTCCTGCACCATCTGCAGTTGCGCTAGATCTCGCTCACCGAGATCGTAGCTGCGCTCCAGCTGCCTGCGGAGAATTATCTTCTCGCGCTCCCGCTCCTCACTGCGCGCAGTTTCAACGCGGAGCTCCCCACAAAGGCCCGCGATGAGACGCCGGTAGTACAGACGCTCGGCCTGGAGCAGTGCATCCTCGCGAGGCCGCATGTAGGGAGGCCGCTGGGCCATCAGAGCAGCCACAAGGCAGGGAACGTCCTCGTCCACGCGGTGGGCTTCTCCAGAAGCCACGCCTGCACGCATCGGAAGGCCGCTGAGGAAGTCATGATAGCTTAAAGTGGCTGCGCGGGTTTTTTTGAGTCCATTCAAGCATTTGGGACCATTCGAGCATTCGGCGGGCTTTTTTTCTTTAGCGTGTTCCCCTTGCCCTGTCCAAATCCTCCTCAAGTTCATCAACGCGCACCTCCGCCAGCACCGCTCGCTCGCGAAGATCTTCGTTCTCTTCCCTGAAGACCTCGACGCGGCGCTCCAGCCGCCAGCGGAGAATGTCGATGCTGCGCTCCAGCTCCCCAACGCGCTTCTTAGCCCGCGCCGCTCGCTCACGCTCTTTGTCGAGGAGATCGTTGAGGCGGTCCAGCATCCAGCGGAGATTTCTGTTGTCGCGCTCCCGCTCCTCACAGCGCAGAGTTTCATCGAGGAGCTCCTCATTCATCGAGGTGCGCGAGCGCTCGGCCTCGAGCAGCGCGTCCTCGCGAGGCCGCTTGCAGGGAGGCCGCTGGGCCATCAGAGCGGTCGCAAGGCTGGGAGCGTCCTCGCCCACCCACGCAGCGGGCTTCTCCAGAAGCCATGCCTGCACGCATCGGAAGGCCGCTGAGGAAGTCATCTTGAGCAGCTGCGGCGGATCGAATAAGTATTATCGAGAAAGCGAGAAAGCGAGAAAACGAGAGCTCGGGATCTTTTTTTCGGTTCCGACAGTCTACGCCCAGCATCGGCTCAGCCGCAGCGGCAGTGTCGGAGCGGGCCCCAGAGGCGGGGGCCCCACGAGGAACTCCATCACGAGGTCGAAGGGCGCGGAGCCTGGCGGAGCGTAAGCGCCCAGCTTCCGCAGCTGCTCCAGGTTGCGCCAGTGTCCCAGCGGCCGCGAGTTGTGAGCGTCGAGGCCGTAGACCTTGTCGTTGAAGGGCGAGAGGGACTTCTTCTCGACGGTCTCCACGGCGATCTCGTGCGCGCAGCTGCGCAGCTGCGCGAAGGTCGCCCTGCGCTCGCTGCCTTCCTCCAGCACCTCCCTGTACTCGAGATGCCGGACGTTGGTCACCGCCTTCTTCGGCACGCCCTTGATCTTGCGCTTCTCCTTGCGCGCGCCGTCGGGCTGGACCGTGAGGATGCTGTACATCTTGGAGCGCAGGCCCACGTACTCCAGGATCCTGGCGGGGAAGGTCTCGTCGCCGAGCATGCCCAGCTGGCCCATCACCTCGATGGCCTTGGCGCGCGCCGCTGCAGAGAGCGCGCTCAGGTCCCTCTCGGGGTCCTTGGACTTGCCGGCCACGTCGAAGAGGGCGGCGCCGTTCAGGTTCGCCTCGGCCATGGCGTGGAGCGGGTCCTGCAGCTCGACGATCTGCACCATCACGGAGTCGGTGTCCGTGAAGAGCAGCCTCATCTTCGGGAAGAGCCTCCTCATGTGGAGGTAGTAGGCCTTCTCCATCATGAGCTTGGAGAGCTGCAGCGTGCGGGCGCCGACTTGGGTGGCCTTGCTGCGGTTCGTCTTTAGCGTCTCCACGAAGGCCAGGAACCCCTCCGAGTCGTTGATCTGGAGCTCGAAGTTCGTCACGGAGCTCTTGCCCACGGCCCGCTCGAACTTGGCCGGGTCCACGTAGGCGTTCGTGTTCCTGAACTTGTCGGGGTTCATGCTGCAGCGGCCGAAGATGGCGTTCTGGGTGAGCTTCACCACCTTCTCGGCGACCACGCTCCCCGCCGTCTTGAGCTGCCTCCGCTCGCTGTGCTTGAGCTCCATGAAGCCCGCCATGAAGGGGCTGCAGGCAAAGCGGTAGGCTCTGTGCAGCCTCCAGACCCTGGCGCCCAGCACGTCCCGCAGGAACTTGAGCCGCTTGCCGTCCACGCCCTCCTCTACGTGCATGCCGAGGAAGGGCACGAGCTTCTCGCAGCGACGGGGAGAGGCCGAGGCGCTCCGCCATGTCCGCTGTGTGCGGCCATTGCCATTGAGGGGGCTCTCCATTTTCAACATTCAGGGGTGTCCTTGTCAACTCAGCTCTCAACTCAGGTGGGCAGATTTGTTGCCCTGCAGACCGGCTCACGTCAAGTCAAAACTGACACATCAATGTGCTGTCGTGCTCAAGTCGTTTTTGGGCAACGAAGCAGGTGTAGCCACGCAACCTGACACAAACAGAATTCTTTACAAGGCAACCCCTGCACGTAATATCGCAATAGTTGATGTGTGCAGCGCCGAGGAGCCAGAGGGTTTGCAGGTTTGAGTTCCGGGGCCTTGCTATGTCTCAACTGTCGAATGTTGGAAAACCACTTGTAGTCTCGGGCTCCGAAAAAGCACGCTTGTCTATTCCCTCAGTCTTTGTTTGGACCACTTATTCCCTCCCAGTTGAACGTTCACTGATTTTGGGAACCCTGGGAAGACTAGCTTGCAGGGGTCAGAAAGTTGACGGTGCTTATTTGTATTTCCTAGGATTTCGGAGGAGACCAACAGGGCGGAGAACTAAGTTGGGCTTGAACGCTCCTAGAGGTCAAAGAAGAAACGTAGTCAGAGATGTCGGAACACTATGCTCTAGCCCTCTTGGCATTTTGGGAAGTCTGGGGTTTTGTTCGTAGGAGCCTAGCTCCAAACCCTGGCGTGGCCTTAGGGCCAGTTTTTTTTGCAGGATGCCACGGCTCATGGGGGATTGAAGGAGGGGAGTTTGGACCCTACGAACGGAATTGCTATCCAATATTTTTGGGCGTCCAAGATTCCTTGAAACGTGCAATTTGGTTATGCCTTGATGAGTTAGCCCCAACTGGGACCCCTTTTGGCGAGCAACCTTAATAAATGCGGGTTTGCCAAGTCTACCAACCTTAAACCAACCCTAGACCAGCCCCAAACCCACCCTAAACCCATCCTAAACCCAACCTAAACCAACCCTGCGCACGGACACACGGACACACACACACACACTCTCTTTCTTTTGGTGAGGGCACGTCGCAGGTACCGTGCTGACATCTCCTGCATGAAGTGCTTCACGGCATCCCTGGGTGGCTTTTGGGCCCTTGGATGGAAAAGCGCATTGAAGACACGCAGCCATGTAGTCAAGTAGTGACGTCAGCTCCCGTTGTGTTCTTGTTTTACTCCGGTACTTCAATACTAGGGTGGGAGCCCTACGATTTTGTCCCTCCACATCACTCCGGCACGAAAATCTCGTTTCGCAACAGGCGGGCGCTTGCCGGAACTGGCTGGTTGAAATTAAAGGGGAACGTCCAAGGAAACCAATCCTTCAGGGCACTTGTGCACAGCCAGGCAGCCAGGGGTTGAACCTAGATCGGTGGCATCCATGCTAATGAGATCTGCCCGCAGCCAGGTCACATCTGGCCTACTGAAAAGGTATTGTCTGCATATCGTTCCCGTGGCAACGAAACCAATCACCAGCCAAACCAATCAACAGCTCCAACCATTCCTCCCGAGTCGAAACCGGTGCGGCCTGATTAGAGACACAATCCTTTCTATTGGGAACCCAGGACTTTTCGCAACCTGATGTCGTTTTAGGGTGTCCCATCGAGGCAAACGTTTCCTGGGACCATCCCCCTGTTCCGCTTGGTTTTTGGGTGGTCGAGATCCCTTCGGCCGAGGCTCGTGACCCTCTGCATCTGCTGCTCGAACCTCAAATGCATCGGTCTTTCACTCTGTCTCCGGCCGTGCTTAAGAGAAAAGACCCCCATGTGGTTTGGTGTCGATGAGCCTCGTCCAAACCGACATGGGCAAGTTGGGGCTACCCCAAGCAGGGTTCCTTATATGTCCCCTTTCAACATCACTCCGCCAAAACGAAACTAATCTAACACTTGCTCAAAAAGTTGCGTGTAAACCGCCTCAAAAGGGACATATGAGGGCTTATTTGAGAAACCCTGCCAAGTTCCTGTTCTGCTGCTTTCTTAATGCTTATGATGGTGGGAGCTTTTTTCTGTTCGCTTTGGAGAATTCCCCTCTTCCAGCAGGACACCTTTTATATTACTTGTTCATGTTCGCGAGTTTTGTAAGATTTAAAAATGTGGCGGGGTGGTTGGTAGGGTGTTGATGGAGTTGGGGTCATCTGGGCTCTCCAAATGGAGAGCCCCTAAAATGTCTCTCATTTTCTGTGGTGCTCCAGAAAAGGGTACCAACTTCAATATATATATATATAATGTGTAAGACTCTGCACTGGGATCACTGAATCCTCGTCCAATAACGTCCACGCCATCGGATTCCCGCCCTCTCAGATTCGAGGGAAGAGAGAAGAGGAGAGAGCAGCCCTCGGGCTGCTGTCGTTCGGAGATGGACAAGTTTGCTGGACCCCCCCCCCATGCGCTTTCAAGTTGAGGTTGACCAAACTGGCAGAAGTTGAGTTGGCCTTAGGCGCTTTATGTTTTTTGGAAACGTCCGTCTTCCAGCTGGAGCATACCTTGTACTGTGTCTCCGTCATAGTCTCCTTTTGTTTCCCTTCATGCTGTCCTCCTGTCTAGCGTCCTTGCATAGCCAGAAACGGTGTTTTCCTCTCGTCTTCATTCTTGGTAGTGTTCTTACGATAACCGAGACAGTTTTATGTTTGGCCGAGGCTGGTGTACTTTGTTCATAAGCGCGGCGATAGCTAATGAACAGCCACTGCTAATCAGGTACACATGGCATAGATTCAGCAACACATGTGCATGTGTGTTAACATCGCACACATTTCTTCAGGTCAAGCGATGCTTCAAGTTCTTTCCCTTCGGGAAGATCTGTCTGGCGAGGAAACAGTACGAAACAGTATGAAACAGTAGCGCAGTCAGCGGACTCTGCCTTCTCTTGGAAACAGCAACTTCTGAGGGTCTACGCAGCCTCAGGGAGTGTTGCAGTGGCCAGAAGCTCATGATCGGGCTGGCCGCGTGTCTCAGCCAAAAGGAAAGTCCTTGTCCTGTAGATCTTCGCCACAGAGCTGTCCGGCCAGCGCTGCACCCAGCAAAGACCCAGAACTGCGCTGAGCACTGACCTGGCAACAGCTCAACCCTTTCCATGCGAATACAAGAACACTAGTCTTTTCTCGAAATTGGCACCATCACTTAAAGAACGAACATTTGGCTTCGCGTTGAAACAATCTGTTCGCCAAGTCGCATGTACCCGCCCAGCCGAGCCAACAACATGAAAATCTGCGGGTAGCGACCGATCTCCACTTCTTCCAGCACATGGCCATTGAGAATTTTCAATGTGGCCTTGTACGTTTGATATGTCACGCCCTGCTCGAGGGCGGACAAAAGCTTGGGCGGGTACTTGGCGAGTTTCGCGAGTGCAGCTGGCCTCCATTTGCTCAAGTTCTGCGCTTCAATGCCCTCCAAGTCAAAGTCAGGATATGCGTACTGAAGCTGAGTGCTGTAGATGTCCTTCAACTCTGGAGACATAAGTGTGGAGAAAGCACTCAAGTAGAGAGATGGAGAGAAGATCTTGGAGGTGAAATTCTCATATTCGGGGTTGCCTGAGAAGCGTTTTGAGCCATCCCTCTTCTTCACAAAGTTCATCACTTGGTTGCCTGGAGTGAAGGCTGTAAGCGTTTGAAGTGGTACTTTCATGTGCTTGTCCGAGACCAGGAAAGGCATGGAATCTTTAACAGACCCGGCTGCAGTGTTGTGGCATTGACCAGAACACATTTTAGAGAGCCTAGGTGCGTATAGGCGATGTGTACCAGCTCCTCTCTTCCTTTCAATTGTTCGTGTTCAGATTTGTCCTTGGATAAAATGCATCCATGGCCGTGGGGGCTTGTTGCAGTCGCCGCCAACATGGATTCATTGATAGGCATGACCCCTGCCAGACTGCACTTTGCGAGCTTGGGATGCCCCTCCGGGCTGCAAAGCAGGAATGTCGGCAAGCTTCCCCAATCTGCCGACATCGAGGTTTGCATTGCCGGGGTCCCATCATGTAGGATGCTGTACGCCCTGCAGAGAAAGAACACAATCGGCATGAGATACAGGAGAATGACGCTTAGCCACGCACATGCCTTGTACTCCTTCACCACAGTCTCTGCAAACCAAGCCATGCTGAAAAAACACGCAAAGCGGGGGTAACAAACCTTTCCAAGATTCTATCAACTCAGATCACTGAACTTGAGCCCAGCTATGCATTGGAAGCCTGCTGCCTTCAGACCTTTCAGTCAGGAAGCATCTGCTACACGTGCTTTGCAAACAATTGTGGACACCTTCGCATGTCCTTGGCTAAAGCATTTTTTTGTGAACTGCGCTTCCGTTGAGGTGATGTAAGCATTTCGGCGTGAATGCTGCTTGCTTGTCTTACAAGTGCACTGCTCAGCATGTGCCTGCGATCGTTTACGCCGCGATCGATTCCGAGGCCTCGGATTCCATCGGAGGGGCGTGACCGCATCCAGGCGCCCCGCGGCGCGCTGCTCCGCCAGGCGCCCTGGCGAGTTCCTGCGAGCTGGTGAGCTGGTGAGCTGGCCGGCTCAAATCCGATCCAGGGAATCCAGGGCAAAACCCTGGTAGTGCGGTCTTATGCCAGGGTAAAAAGTGTTCATTAGCAGGGTGAACATAGATGGCACAATTCCTTTTCTACAGGTCAGGGGGAACATGAAAACAAAATGGGGGGAATTGCAGCATCTTTCACCCAATTGTTACCCTCCCACCCATGCTGCATGGAACCTGACTGGGGTGGAGAGGACCCTCTGGTGGGTCCCATGTTGGCAGGTACTTTGTCTCCAACAATCATGGAAGTGCGCCGGAAGAGGTTTGAAAACTACCATCTCAAAAAGGCCAGCAGCTGTCCGCACCAGCCCAGGACCCTCTGAGTTCATGTTGGGGTTTCACCAGCCACTCAACAAAGAATCCAAAGGAAACCGCCCATGTTGGGTTCCCTCTGGAGAAACACGTGGCAAATTACCTCTCTTCCCAAGACATTGGAAAATTGGGTGGGCCCGATTGTTTTTGTGGGCAATTTGGGTGGCCCCCCATGTCCTCCCCAAAAACAATAGTAGACTACCAGTAATTTTGGTCAGTTGCTCTGAGTGAGTCTTAGTCAAAACCTGGCATCAACGACCCAAAATCTTGCAAAAGATACTGGCGACTGGGACTGGAAACCCAAATTAAAACCAGTGCAATCCATCCATTGTTGATCAAACTGCCCCCCTAAGCGTTGGGACAACCACTTGTCTAAGCGCATTACTGTTGAAACATCAACTCTGCTAGTGTTCCCTTTACAAGTGGACCGTGGATGGTTAAAAAACATGTTGGCCAACCCCAGAGTCTCAGTACTTTGATTAAAAAGTAATGGCCACAGCTAGCTGGATGCGCGACAGTCAACCTCAAGAGCATTCCTTTTGTCAGTGGGAGGCAGGGGAGCTTTTCAAAGCCGGACTTTGAGGCACCACTCACAAGGCCCCTGGAAACAGAACCCAGAACCTCGTTTTGACCCCGTGCCATTCCAAGCTTGACCTCTGTTTCCCAAGGGGATGTTCTCTCTAAGCGCGCTTTCCCTTTGCTTTCCCTTCGGAACAACCCAAAAAGGGTACCCTCAAGAAAAGACTACCAAGACAAAAACAAAAAAAAAGAGAAACGAAAATCTGCTTCCCGCCCATCAGAATGAAATTCCGAGGGATCTTCGTCATTTTCTCCCCATCCGCAAGTGGGCAAGGCGCCGGCGGCCAGCCAGGCGGGTCGCGCGCATCGCGGTCCGTGGACCACTTTTGGCTATGGATTTTGATAGTTGGAGCCCCCGCAAAAATGGTTGGTGGTCCCCGAATGATGTCTGCCCATTTTTCCATGTCTTGTGGGGGACACAAGTCATGTTTTCAGGTCAGCAATGGTCTATGTTCACTGTGACTGCGGCTCATGTCCTGTAGGTCGAAGTTTGCGTAAATTTGCCTACGGCGGATGTTAAACGGAATTCGGTTTTCCGTTTGGTTTCCCTAATGTTGAAATGTATAGCCCAATACGCATGGAGCCAAGCATGTCAAGCTCTGCTGTACAGAGACGACTGTTGATATATTTTGGCTCAAGAAAATAAGGCGCTCCGTAGCGGCCAATCAGATTTTCATGGTAGCGGGGAGCAGTAAAGGTTCAGAGGGACCTAAGAGCTCAATTTGGTACTTCGCTAGTAGAGGGCGAGAACCAGTACCGCCTTGGAGGCGGGGAGGCCGCGGAGGACGCGGAAACCGAACCACCCGAGGCCCCGGCAGAGGCCGGAGGAGTGGCAGAGCTGCCACACGAAGAGCCGCAACTAGGAGGTGCTGAGGTGGAGCCAGAGGAATTGGCTTCAGGACCGGACTGGTCGTCCGGCGAGGACACAGTTGCTCAACAAGCAGCTGAGACAGGGAGGATCCTAGCCAAGCTTTTGGAGGAGCAAGAGAAGGAGGAGCCGCCAAAGAAGAAGAAGAAAGCAGAGGAGGTGCAGGATAAAGTCCCAGAGCCTAAGAATCAAGCCACCGAAAGGTTGGATCACCAATAGATCAACCGAAGGGGCATCTGACTCAGAGGCCTGGGGTTCGGCTCCGGTCTCATCGCATCCGGAAGCAGCAAGCAGTAAGGCAGCATCAGCACCAGCAGCAGCAGCAGCTGAGGAGGAGGAGGCCCAAGCCCCAAGCAACAGCAGAGGAGGCCCCTGCAGCAGCTGAGGAGAAGCCCGAGGAAGCAAGCAAAGGAAAAGGTAAGGGCAAGAAAGGCAAGAAGAAGAAGAAATCGCCCTGGCAGGAGAACTCGGCAGGTAAGTGGAAGGACGCCCGCCGATCTAAGGAGAGGAGGACTTTCAGGTTCTTGAAAGGACTGGTCAAGTTGAACCAGAAGCACGACAGTCCGATCCCTCCTAAGGTCCAGGAAGCCTGCGATAAGTTCGAGGAAGAGTACGGCTACGCGGTGCCCACACCCAAGGGATTCAGCCACAACATACGGCCGAAGAGTCCCCCGGGAGGCCCAAAGCCAAGGGCAAAGCCGAAGCGGGAGTTGACCCGCCGCAAGCGAAAGCCGACAAGCAGCACTACAGAAGAAGAGGAGCCCACTGCCACAGCCACAGGAGCAGCGAAGGCACCGAGCACCGAGCCAGCTGAGGTGCTACCAGAAGTCGCCGCCGCGGCGAAGGCTGCAGGCCGCGTGATAAGTGTGGCGTTAGCCACGCAAGAGGCGGCACTGCGCAGAGTGCGTGCAGGCAAAGCCACCCCTGAGTCTGCACTAGCCAGAAACTACCGCCTGAGGAACGCGGCGATCGTTCAAGAAATCGCCGAGCGTAAATCACCGGCGCAGGGCACAGCCGGAGCAGCGATCAGGGCCCAGGTATTGGCCCGTGACAGCCTAGCAAAGGCTTGCAGCTCGTGCGACGAGAGGCGCCGCCTCCAATACCCCTGGGTATTGGAGCGCGCGCGGCGCATCGCGACCCAAGGCAAGGGCGCGAAGGGCGCGACGCCAATTGCGCCTGCTGCTGTCACTACTGCATCAAAGGCCCTTGCAGTGAACCCCAAGCCCGCGGCGAAGAAGCCGCCGCCTGTGCCCAAGGAGCACCCGGCGGCTTACGCCTGGGTTTCAGGATCACCGGTGAGCCTTTGCTTTTGGCCACTTCCTCACCCGGTGTTTCCTTGGGCTCCTCCTCCGGCTTAGCCTCTGTCTTCTCCTCCGGCTTCTCCTCTGGTTTCTCCTCCGGCTGGTCTTCTGGCTGCTCCTCTGGCTGCTGCTTGGGCTGCTGCTTGGGCTTGGGCTGGAATAGGAAATTCCCCGAGACGGATCTTTCCGCCTCCAACCCAGTGACCGCCGCTCCTGGGAATAAAAAAATCCCGAGACGGATCTTTCCACCTCCAGCCCAGTGACCGCCTCTCCTGGGAACAAGAAATTTTCGAGACGGATCTTTTCCATCTCCTGGGAATAGGAAATTCCCCGAGACGGATCTTTCCGCCTCCAGCCCAGTGACCGCCTCTCCTGGGAATAAATGCAAGTAGCAAGGATCCATAGCTCAATCGGAAGAGGCGCTGCAGCTCTGAAGCTAGGAGGCCACGGGTTCGATTCCACCCGAGACGGATCTTTCCGCCTCCAGTCCGGTGAGCGCCTCTCCTTATAACTTTTATTCCCAGGTCCGAGACGGATCTTCCCGCCTCCAGCCCGGTGAGCGCCTCTCCTTAAAAGACTTTTATTCCCAGGTCCGAGACGGATCTTCCCGCCTCCAGCCCGGTGAGCGCCTCTCCTTAAAAGACTTTTATTCCCAGGTCCGAGACGGATCTTCCCGCCTCCAGCCCGGTGAGCGCCTCTCCTGGGAACAAGAAATTTTCGAGACGGATCTTTCCATCTCCTGGGAATAGGAAATTCCCTGAGACGGATCTTTCCACCTCCAGCCCAGTGACCGCCTCTCCTGGGAGCAAGAAATTTTCGAGACGGATCTTTCCATCTCCTGGGAATAGGAAATTCCCCGAGACGGATCTTTCCGCCTCCAGCGAAAAGAAGGGAACAGGAATGCGCGAGAATGAAGGAGAAGAAATTAAATTCCCCCGAGGAGAGGGGAGAGACGGATCTTTCCGCCTCCAGCCCGGTGAGCGCCTCTCCTGGGAGCAAGAAATCCCCGAGACGGATCTTTCCGCCTCCAGCCCGGTGAGCGCCTCTCCTGGGAACGAGAAATCCAAGTGTAGCAAGGATCCATAGCTCAATCGGAAGAGGCGTTGCAGCTCTGAAGCTAGGAGGCCACGGGCTCGATTCCACCCGAGACGGATCATCGCCGAGAGACGGATCTTTCCGCCTCCAGCCAGGTCGTCCTCGACGAAGCGGGTTCCTCCGTAGCCCTGGTACATCCGAGCAAGTCGCACATCCTCGTCCGTGGCCTCGGCGGGAGTGCGGAAGCCTTCCTCTGGAATCGCCCTCAAAGGCGTATGCTGCAGTGGGGTCCTCGCTGGACTGCACGAAGTCGTCCAAGTAGAAGTGGCTAGTAGTAAGAAAGACAGCCTATAGGGACCAATTATTTTTCGGATTTGGGTCCCCAAACCCTGCAAAACAGCCAAATTCTTCAACCACCTAAACGTTTTTCCGATGTCACCAGTCTTTGTCAAAACGGTCAACTCCGAAAAGCGCGTTTTTTCGTGTCAGACGTCGAAAGTGGTGCCTGAGCCTCCAAGTTCGCTCGTTTTCCGCCGAAAACCGGC